AGGCTGTGAAAATGAGCAACAACCCCATTCCTGCCAAGCGTTTTAGATGTAATGGAGTCACCATTAGCAGCAGTAAGACAAGTAATTTTCCTCCTATTAATCTTTGAATTGTAAACCTTAAAGAAAAAGGCTGTATTGTTGTCCCCTTCCTTCAACCACTTGACCCTCGCCTTCTGCTTGATGAAGCTCTCCTCTGCAAGTGCAAAATCTGAATATTGCTGAATTAGAACCTTTTCTTGGGTTTTGAGTGTGTTGTCCATAGGGTTGGTGTCCAGTAGCTGCCGACATACAGATAAGTCTTGCTTAGCCTGTGAAACCCTTTCAGTAGCATTAGAGATTTCCACCCTGCACTTCACCTTCAGGACCCCTTTAAGGGATTTAAGCTTCTGTACCATTTGAAACATTAGAGCCCCACTTATGGGGGTGGCCCATACTTGCTCTATAGTGGGAATAAAGATAGGGTTAGAAGCCCAGGAGTTAAAGTACTTGAATGGATGTTTCTTAGGTGCAGTGGGAGGTCCCAACTTGATTAAGATGGGACTATGATCTGATAATCCAGGGGGTAGAAAAGTGCAGTCAGACATAGGGAAAGATAGGGTCCATTTTTCATTAATTAAAGCCCTATCCAACTTCTTGGCAATGTTAGCTTGGCCCAAGCTCATGTTGTTCCATGTATACTAGATGCCAAAAAACCTTAAATCATCAAGCTGAGATTACATCAAACATTCCTTAAATTCTGTCATATAAACATTCCACCTCTATGAACCACCAAACTTCTCACAAATGCATTATCATTATTTTGTAATATCTTAACTATCCTTTATACCATAAATAACTTGTTAATTTTTTATTAAGTCAAGTACAAAACACTCCTTCGCTATATAAAAATTGTGCAAAAAACACACTTAGTAAAAAAAAAAAAGTGCATATAACTCCCTATATTATATATCTTTTGAGCAAATTGCCCCTACTGAATTATTCTATTGAAAAATAAGTCATTTTTAAAATAAAAAAATCCAAAAGTACCCTTTTTGTGTAATAATAACGTCCCTATCAATTTTGTATGTATTTAAAATAGAGAATGAGTTTGTTTAGATGTACTTGAAGATCTATTCATTGAAATGTTTCTCTCTAATTTTTTTTTTTTTCTCTCTAAAATATCTTTATGTTGCCTTTAGCAACCTTTTACCAAAAAGACATTTTTTTTATTTTTTATAATACTATGTTTCATTTGGTTTGTCAAGTGAGATTCTGAAATCTATACATCATTTTTTATTTTTTAGAATATTATTTATTAATATAATATCTCTCTCTCTAAATTTTTTTTTACTCTCTCTAAAATTTGTCCATTGATAGTACCTCTTTCTAAAATGGAGCACCTGGAATCAGCAAACCCCAAAAAATTTCATAGTATCTCGCTCCAAAAAATCAACAACCTAATTCCAATCTCTTCAAAAAGATCAAGAGAAAAATTAAGAACAAGTTACAAATTTTTGGTATAAATAGATAGAAATTATATATATATATATATATATATATATATATATATATATATATAATAATAATAATAAATAAATAAATAAATAAATAAATAAATAAAATAAAATAAAAGATATATGAAAAATAGAGAAAAAATTAGATAAAAAAATATTACTTATTGTATTCAGAGGAGGCAGTGTCAAAGCAATATTAGAAAGTTTTGATCAATTCTATAAGTATTTTCATTTGTGAGGACCCGTTTATTTTTTATCTACAAATTTCTGCACTTGCATATTCCTTCTTCAAATTTTAATTTTGTGCACTAATACAATATACCATTCCTTACTAGTTAAGCAGTGCACTAATACAACATACAATTCCTTACTAGTTAAGCATTGTTGTCTTAGTCTTTTATAAATAGTTGGGTTTATTTATGGCTATGAAATAAAAGATATGGTTGGTGTGTGCCGAATAAAATTGAGATGGAAGAGAGATATATCGAAGAGAGATAGGTTTCTGACAAATTTAAACCCTAAGTTAACTAAGTTACCCTTATTAAACCATTTTATAAAATATATAAAAATAAATAATTTGGTAAAATGATCGAAAATAACACTATTGGAGGATGGCCTTTTCGTGCCAAAAACACCCCTAAAGTTTTAATATAGTGCAAATAGATCTATCTAACAAATTAAACCCTAAGTTGACTAAATTACCCTTACAGAATCATTTTATAAAATATATTAAAAAACAAATAATTTTATAAAATGACTGAAAATGACACTATTGGAGGACGCAGGCAATGGACAAATAAAGATAAAAATATAAAATAAAAGTATAAAAGAAAAGTAAAGATAAAAATAGAAAATAAAAAACAAAAATAGAGTGCAAACTAAAGAAAACAAAATTTTTCCAAACTCCGAAAACCAATGCACACTAATATTGTGAATTTTTTTTTTTTTTTTTTAACAGTGTTGGTATGAAAAATAATAATAATAAAGAAAAAAAAAATAGTAGGAAAGAGTAAACTGGAATCTCAAAAAATTAAAATCCTTGCTCTACAAATTCTCAAATTAAAAATATATATATATATATATATTAAGAGATATACATAGAGAAAAAAGTTGCAAAAAAAAAAAAAAAAAAAAGAAGTAATGTGCATATAACACCTCTATACTACGAGATTAGTAGTATATATACTCCTTTGGGCATTTTCAGAAGAGTAAAATGGTAAAACGGGTATTACATCACTAATTTTTATACTTCAGGAAATCTTGATTTGTGATTTTATCTTGAATTAGGTGATTGCTTATTTGTTAGCTCATTTGGTTGCTTTTGTGTTTTAAAAGTGAATTTGTTTAATATAGAAAAGAGAAAAAAATAAAATAGTAAAACTTACTATAATAGTATCCAAACCCTTGTACAACTTTAACTTCAATTCAATTATGCCTGTATATCTTGTTTAGGAAAATTTTTCTATTGAATCTTTAAATAATCAAAACTAGAAGTTACAATTTTTTTCCATGAATGATCTCTTTCTCGTGAATAAGAATCTCCCTTCTATCAAATCGTCAAATAATTAAAAGTAAAAACTACAATTTTTACCATGAATAAATGGCATCTTTCTCATCATTAAGAACCCTAATTTATATAATTCACTTAAAAAATTTTATAATTGTATTTTGATTTAGTATTTTCTTATTAAAGTTAAATTTGAAAGAGATGCCCATCAGACAGAGAGTAATTGAAAAATATATTTTTTTCAATTACTCTCTCTATATATTTACTTATACATATAGTAAAAATTTATTAGTAGAAAAAAGAAAATCAATTCGTTTAGTTTACTAAAATAAGAAACACAAATACATAAAAGAATAAAGTATAATTTGTATTAAAATAGAGAACATTAATATCTTTTTAGTTATCGGCACATCAAATTCAAGATCTAATCTCAATTTTTAATTCGAGATGTGTAGCACTGCTCATATTATAATTAGATCGAAGATGTTGTAAAAAGAGTAATGTTATACAAGTATTGGATGTATGATGAATAGGGGAATATTTGTCATTTTAAAATAATTTTTTATATTAAAATAATGTTATTATATTAATGATAAAAGCGTAATTTCATATGAAAAATAATAATTGTTATACAGTAACTGAATGCAAGTGTATGTTTTTCTACCAAACTAGGCTATCGTGTTAGTCTTTGAAAAAGAGGTAAAAGAAAATTTTATTCATATATATCGGAAATGAGAATGCTAAGATGGATAGTTGATGTGACAAGAAGAAATAGATCACGAATGCAAGTGTAAGAGAAAAATTAAGTGTAGTAATTATCAATGAAAAAATAAGAGATGATATACTTAAATGGTTTTGGTACATACATTGAAGAGTCGAAGACCTATAGATACATTGATGAAGTTCAATTTTCCTAGAAGGTAATAAACGGAGAGGATGACCAAAAACCTAAGACAGAGGATTCATTCATATAGAAATAAGGCAAAAATGATGACGATAATGACTGACAACGATAACGAGACCATCACACTCAATTTAGGTATACTTAAACGATGTAAGTGTAATTAATCCAAAATTATAATCATGGGATTGAGAAACTTTTTTTATATGCTTTTTTAAAATTTTTAAAAAATCAAATAAATTATTTAAGAAATCTTTTAATCAATAGTTAATAAAGTGAATTTTGTCACAATAAAACTGACTTAATAGTCTTACTATTTATGACTTGTATTAAATACAACGTGACAACCAAACCAACAAAAATATCAAAAAGATTGATAAACAATGTTAAACATAGGAAAAAACATGGGTTGTTACTTCTAATCTACTAAATTGAGGTTCCTTTTGTTTTGATATAAAATATTTTTTAGAAAATATATATATTTTTTTATTTTCTAGTATTTGGTTGTCGTAAAATATTTACGAAAGAAAAATATATTAAAATTTTACAAAAATAATTTATCCAAAGGACTCGACCTCAACCTCAACCCAGAAGGTACAAATAAAAAAAATATTTTACCTCAAAAAAAAATATATATATATATATATATATTTTACGTCTACGGAGCCTAACTGTAGATGAAATAATTATAAACATTTATTTCTTCATAAATTTGGACCTCCATTGATTATGGTAGCTTCTGCACTAAGCATTTGAAACCAGAAAAGCAAAATGCATACTTCTCAAATGCAACGAGAACTGGCTCACTTTGACAAAGTAATAGGAACTTGTAATAGGAACTTGTAGCCCGTAATAATCTATCGTGATAATCACTCTTGCATGAAATTTGTGTCAAATAATTACGAAAAAAAAAAATTTGTGTCAAAAAATTAGAAATTGAAAAAAATAATAATAATAATAGATTAAAATTTTAGTGGGTAATAAAACATGATAATTCGAAGATGAACAGCGTACATAAAGCAAAAAATCACTGGTGAAATCAAACCTGTTTCATGCGAGACAGCATTCCACATATATAGGAACGTTCAAAAACGAGGACTTAATGATAATTTCAATTTAGATTTGACTAGTGAAAAAATTTCCCCTGGTTTCACAACTCAAGTATCCAGGCCACCAAATACACCTCCCCCCAATCTTTCCTCTGCAGCCATACATTGTAATTTCACATCCTAACTTCATTAATAGTTTAGACAATGGCGGCATACCGTATGATCTACTCCCAATAAATACAAATAATAAATAATTTTTTTACACCGGAGACCTCTGAAGTCTCATTCTCACCCCTCCGGTGAAACCTTAAAAAGATACGTGTATCACTGAAGAGCATTACCGAAGGGAGCTGAGACCAAGGAAGTAAACCAACGGGTTCGAATACAAGCACAGAGGGCATTTGGCTCCTTGCCTACTCTCTCCCCAACCAGGAAAAATGAATGTGGTTGGATATCTCTCTTACAGAAACTCTATCAAGATCTACCGATTCTTGTAACTATATACTTCCCTTTCTCAAGATCATAGATGGTCTTCAACTGCGGTTTCCTCCACTTTGATACAGTCCATGCGGTGAACGTCAATATAATTAGAATACCAAAAAGAACAAGCAGTGTTGACGAGTCATTTCTAATAATGTTGGGAATCCAGTTGGGGTGCTCTATGTCCAAGTCACTTGTGCTCTGTAAGATGAAAGCTCCCAATGCCCAATCGAGTGGGATATCACCCACTTGATTAACAAATCCAATCCTGCTCAACAAAAATTCCAATCAATGCCTGCACACAAACATACATACCATATATATATATATATATATATAGAGAGAGAGAGAGAGAGAGAGAGAGAGAGAGAGAGAGAGCATACAAGCCCTTGGCCTTGGCTCTATGACAAGAGGAGCGCACACAGAAAGTTCAATCAAAATCTATTCGAGGACCATAGTTTGCATGAGTGGTGGAAAGAGCAATACCTTTCATCATCCAATGCAATTCCAAGACTATCATGAAGTAGGGCCACAATATATGCCGAAGAGAAGCAATACTGTAACAAAACTTCATCATCGAGTGAATGATATTTCATTTTCAACTTAGACCAGTCCTCTTCACAAAAATGTTGTCCAGCACTCATCACATCAGAAATAAATGCCGTTGGGGCCAACCCAAAGAACTATAAGAAGCAACGGAAAAATAAAAATAAAATAAAAGGAACGTCAAAAAACCATACAACAGAATTTTTTTATGGTGGCAAATGGAAATACATGTATCAGAAGAGCATCAAATTTTCCCCAAACATAAGGAAGCATGGAACGAACAGTCATCTCATACAAAAATATATAAAAGGAAAAAAGAAAAAGGAAACAGAGAAAGAACCTTTGATGTATAGAAAAAGTTTTCCGTCGCCAAAAACTTCCCCCGAAGCTTGGGTATGAATGTTGATCCTATGTAGCAGTGCTGATAGGAGCATTTTTCTGCATCTCATATGTAAAGGATCATCATTCAATACTTCCAACAAGAAATGAAGTCCAACTTCCTGATTGATGCAAAAAAATGAACAAACTTTCTAACTGAATATGTATACCTTTTCCTTTCTGCAACAGCGTTAATGCAGCAGATCTGCACTCCGAGAAGTTACCCTTAGGATGCAAAGCAGATGGATATCCCTTCTTTTCAGCCAAAGAATCAGGAGAGAGATTCCATGACTTCGTATCATCTGAATATCCTTTAGGAGTACAAGGATCTATCCTCTGAAGAGATTCAGCAGCTGCATTAATATGATAAACACAATAAAGTATTTCTGGCTGTGAATGTGATAACATGTAATTTGCAAATTAATGTATCATTCCTAAGGGAGTGCCAAAAACCACACAGAAAAATTCTTAAAATTGCTGATAAAGATCTACATACGGTCTTCATAGATTTTTAAAAAAATATATGACAGAGTGCGAAAAGATATAATTTGGTTGGTCTTACAAAGAAAACAAATTCCTATAAAAATAATAAAGATTATTCATAATATGTATGTAAACAAAAACTAGAGTCTGCACTACATATGGCGAGATTAATGATTTTCTATAAATGTGTGACTGCAACAAAGGATAACACTAGGTCTGTATTTATTCACAATAATTTTAAATAAAATCACAAAAGACTTAAAAGGAGACATTCAATGGGGCATGTTGTTTGCCTATGACATGGTACTTCCCGGAAAACCCCAAAAACATTTTTTTTATAAATATAATAAATAATTCATTTCTCTAAATTTTGGCTAAACACTTTTAAAAAAAAATTAACAATAAAATTGGAAATGTGGAGAAACAGATTAGAATCACAAGGCTTAAAAATTAGTAAGACTAAAACTGAATACATATGGAATGTAAATTTAGTAGGAATCCGGATGTTGATAATATAGATCACGCTTTAAAATCAAAGGATTATTCAAAGCGACCATTTTCAATAGTTAAGGACAAAAATACAAAAGGATGGTGAAACATATGGTGAAGTAAGCTAACGCCATTTATGCGATAAAAGAATAACAAATAAATTAAAAGAAAATATTTATAATGTTTTAGGCCACCTAATTTATATGATGCAAAAAAATGGACTCTAAAAAAGAGGACAAGGCCAAATTCGTGCAAATAAAAAAATGAGTATCTTAAGCTGGAAGGTAAGGGTGACTAAAAGAGATAAAGAGTTACTAATCAAAAAGTAAGGGAGAAATTATGTGTGACACTTGTTAGATTTAAAATAAGATAAAGTAGACTTGGGGGGTATAAACATCATATACAAAGATGACACCAATAGATGCACGGATAAAAAGAGGAAGACAAATTTCTATAGAAGGTACGAGACAGACAGGGTAACAAGAATTAACATGGAAATTTACATTAGTTCTTAGGAATTGAATTTATGGTTCATTTTGTAAATTTACTGTAATAGAAAACTCAGGAATAGCTGATGAAGACAAATGAATTCCATAAAAATATGAAACAGGCTAACAGCACAAATAAATTCTTATAATTTTGTGAAGCTTCTGGACAACCTAAAATTCACTGAAAATTTAAATTATATATAGAATATAGATAGACTGAAACCCTAATTTGTGGAGATTTATAAAAATCATTTTAAGTTTGTCAGATGTTCTGTCAGAAGCAGATGGGGGATAATTTAAAACTAATTTGAAGAACCAAGCAAAGTCCAAACTGAAAGGATAAATATGATTAAGAAGCTGATTAAGTCTGATTTCTGGTAACGTAAGGTTTGTTTGCTTGTAAGTAGACCTGAAGTAGATAATTTCAAAAATTGGACAGTTAGGTCAGTTGTGTCTACTAATTTTCGGTGCCCAAAAACAAAATTTTATAATACCTAATAATTAGGAAATGCAAAAAGCTATTTTTCTTACGCTTCTAAACGAAGTTACTTTCTGCGAAAAAAGTTCCACAAAATACAAAATTTTGGTTTAATAGCAGGTGTTTGAGATGATTAAGATCCGAAATTAACAAACTAATGTTAACAACAACAACAATAATGATAGTAATCTTGAGTCTTAGAAAATTATCTCTGGGTTTTGGGTGTGATATTGAACATCCTATTTTGACAAACAATGAGATTTTATGGCCCAAATCAATCTAAAGGAAGATTTATAAAACAAAAAAGCCATATGTACCAACCAGTCTCTTATAAACATTTGTATGCAACTGTGGAAGGTGAAATTCACACCAAATGCGTTACAACATGTGGCGAGCACGTAGACGACATGCCCAGTAAGTAATAAGGATTCATTTAATAGCAAATGACAAAGCATCATAAGGGCTAAGAGCGATGAGAGGGAATAACTGTATCAGGGGAACGACCACCCGAACTCCACCAGTTGACATGGGGGTTGGTAGAGGGAAGCTCATGGATCTGTATGCCCAAGAGCAGAGAAAAAAAGTGTCATCTTAGGAACTTTTTCAACAAGGTCAGACTGTCAGTTAAGTGATTTAAGTTCTAGGAAAGACGGGGAATCCACAAATGTCCCAAAATTATGAACTGTATAAATACAAATGAAGGTAAGAGAACCAATCACTTACCCAATTTTAGGCCTCTTGAACATGCATTTTAGCATACAAGTACGTGACATTCTATAGCCTTCCAAGACATAATTAAATGTACTGAATCAATACTAAAAGAAAAGTATATCCACTTACCCAACTCTCCACCTTTCGTAACAAGTGATTCCCGTAATAAGTCATATGCAACATTCTGCAAAAGCAATTTATAAATTCCTAAATCTTAAAGCGAAGGCAAATTAATAACATACTTCCCATCATACACAAGAATTTGCATAGTGTTCTGCAAAAACACAATATATCTAACATTTATGTTACCAAAAACATGGGTGACATATAGGCCATTGCTTGCTCTAGGCCATTATTTGAAAAAAAATGATCAGACGGTTAAAAGTGCGAACAGGGGTTTGAGTCTTATGGAATGGTTTATGCTGAAAGTTTAAGTCCAAATCCAAGCCATCCCTCCGAGCAAAAAACATTGCCATTGCCTTTTCTTATAAATAATGGAGTAAATATCAGAGATATCCATAGTTTGGAGCATATTTCAATCAGCAATTTATAAAACTAGAATAAATAAACTTATCAGGGAGAAAAAAGATGGATTACATTTTCTAGCATGTGCTAAAAGAGTGACAAATTTTGATGGAACTTCAATATGTCCTTTACGTTTTAAGCCTTTTCAAAATTTTAACAACCTTGAATCATTTATCTAAAATTCCACTTCTTATGGTAATTCAGTCTTATCGTGACGACAATTGGAATCAATGCCAAAGTGGATAACCTTCATGTACAAGTTGAGGTTATCATGTCTTTATTCTGAGTTCGTGAAGAGTCCTCTTAGTGTCAGCGACTCAGTGTGCGGATGGACTGCAGACTAATAAAAAAAGAAGAAGAAAGAAACTGCAATAAATTAAAAGAAGGGTTAAAATCATAAAACCCCTTGTCTACTTTCAAAATCATGCATAAAACCCCCACTAAAATTAAATAGGTCCATGAACTAACAAAATTGATCAAATTACCCCAAACCACGACCGACCCGTTAAATAGGTTGTGAAATGTCAAATTTAACCTTACTATTTAAAATTAAATTTAAAATGTTGATAATTATTATTTTAAGATTACAAACATACCACTCAAGTAAGTCAGTCTTCTTCCTCTTCAAGCCTCTCTCTCAGACCCATGTGCACCTCTCTCTCTCTCTCTAATAAAACCAGATCCATGTGTACCTCTCTCTCTAATAAAACCAGACCCATGTGCCACAACTTAGCTTGAATTTCTTTATATTTAAGTACTTCAAGTCTTCTACTCGCTCTTCATGATACTAGAAAAACATTATTTTTTCACGTGTTATTGGTATTGCTTGGAGTGCTTGAATTCTGATAAAGATATTTTTGGTTTTGTGCCTGGTAAGCGTTTCATTGGAAGCGTGTTGGATGGGTCTCGTCAGTACTCCAGTCCAGTTCAATGAAATTTCTACCAACACTAATTCGTCTCCAAATTCCGGCGAGTATAACCAGAAAACCTCCAATCCCGATCCAAATCGGGTATCATCCACCTCAACGACCAACTCATTAGCTGCTTCGTCTCCTCCTCCAAGCGGTCCCGATCTTTCTCTCTCACCATCTTCTTCGATGCCATCCAACTCCACAACAACCACGAGCTCCGTTCCTATTTTCCCTCCTTGCCCCCTCACATCCGCCTCGTCAGTCCCGATCCCGCAATCTCAAGGAAGATTGCTCCAGATGGACACCGGAGACTTCTCTTGACTTGCCGATCATGTGTCCATGGCTGAATTCATCGAATCCAAAACCAAGCTTACCATCGGCCCCATTCATCTCCCATCAATCGTTTCCAGGAAACAAATGGTGTTTGTGATTGTGGCATTGTTGATTTGGTTGCCTTTTGTGGCGAAAAAAGTGCTTGCTGGAGAGACCCTTTTGTATGATTCTAAGATTTGGCTTTTGGTTTGGTTGTTCAACTTTGGTGGGTGTGGTTTTTGGATTACACATACCCACAAGACCCAAATGGGTGTATGGGTTTGGTTTGGTTGTTCAACTTTGGTGGGTGTGGTTTTTGGATTACACATACCCACAAGATCCAAATGGGCGTATGGGTTTGGTTTGGTTGCTTTGTTAAGGCTATGGTGGGTGTGGTGTTTGGATTGCACATACCCACAAGCCACAAGACCCAATTTTCATGATCGGCAAACACACACGCATATATATACATATATTATGTGTATTTGAGGAAATCAGTTGGTAGAGAGAAGAAGAAGAAAACACACTTAAGGGTATTTTCGAAATTTTGAAATAATTATTAGTTTTTAATTTAATATTAAATTATAAGGTCAATTTTGTCTTTTCACAACCCATTTAACTGGTTAGATACAGGGGTAATATGATCAATTTTGTTAGTTCATGGACCTATTTGATTTTAGTGGGGGTTTTATGCACGATTTTAAAAGTAGAGGGGAGTTTTGTGGTTTTAACCCTTAAAAAAAATATGTAAAAATCAGGGACATCTTGGTTAGATGAAAAGGCCAACAATAACAGCAGTGTACTTTGTGAAATCCATTACTGCAACAAAGTATTTGCAGCATTCATAAACAAACATGTTATTGCCACCAAGTGAACACAAAACATTTGGAAAAAATGCTTACCTGACCGAAATGAAGCAAGCTGTGACTGTAGAGGTTGTAAGTAATATTCCCAAATTTAACAATATAAGAAAATTCAGGAGGCACTGGCTCGCTTGAAACAAAGGTCACCTGAAATAGAAGTATTCAAATCATTCAAGTTGAGAATCACATACCGCTCTTTCAACAATCCATGCATAAATGTTTTGCTCATTTTAAAAAATATTGAAATGGGAGAGGATAAAATTGTTTATTTGCTGGGGGTGTCATATTGCTCCTGTCAACATACAGGAGTTAACTATTCAACTGGTTCCCAAGGTGAAAGCACTAACCTGCCTAACAGATAAATTAGGCATTTAAAAACAATCCAATATCTTGACATGATATATATTTACTTTAGGGCTGAAGTAGTGCAAAAATATATATCTTTTGATAAGTAATAGAGATATAGATATATATATATATATATATGATCCCAGCTAAATACATATTACTCTTATCCATGTCAATATCACATGTAACTTGAACAACATTCTGCATATGTAATTCAGGGAAAAGGAAACTAAACCTGAGCAGATGCCCCACCAAGTTCAATAATTCCAGTTGTTTGCTGTGGATCCTCTCCAAGAGTGCCAAGGGCATAATTTGCAACAATCCAAGCATAAATGCCTTCATCAGAACCTAAACACGAACAAAAGTTAAAAAATAAATACATAAATATTACCATTAACCTGGAGAAAAAACCAAACTACTATTTAAGAACCTATCAAGAGAAATGTATATATATAATATAACACAAAAGCCACACCAAACCGCACCAAACTTCATGATTAAGTTGAGAGTAAATAAATAGGCAAACCATCATGTGATTCATACCTGTAATAACTGAAGCCCAATCATCACGAAATTTAAACCCGGATGACCTTAGAACCCGCCTGCACGACCCCAAAATCCGTTCCTGCACACCCAAGTCCAGCATCCTCATCCCCGCGGTCGCCATGAGCCTAATCACAGTATCTCCCCAATACTCCTTCGGAATCCTCTTCTTCGCGAACTCCAACAGCTCGGCCAATGACCCGCCCGCCCCTTCGGGATCCTCCGCGTAGGAGGATAACCCTGGGTTGACTCGCATTGAAACCAACCCATCCTTCCCAAAATCAAAATCCGGAACCTTATCCCTAATCACATACTCAAACACATGAATTCGACTCCCCGTGCTTCCACCGTCGATCACAATCCCAAATTTCCGCTTCACAGAGTTCCGATGACCGGTGGAGGCCACAAACAGGTAACAGAACAATGCAAGGGCTAATGCGAAGAATGCAAATAGTACAATGTTCGATCTGGTAAAGGCGGTGGCGTTTTTAGGGTTTCGAGAGAAGAGATTGGATCGATGGGGCAAATTTGATCGGAATTGAAGCTTGATCGAGTCCATGTTGTGGTTGTGGTTGGAGTTATGATTGACTGCACGAGCATTCGGTCGTCGCATCAATATGTAGAGATCTGAGAGGAGATGATGAGAGGGAGACGTAGCGAACCATACGACAGATGTTGATGAATGACCAATGAACGAGTGTGGATTTGAGGATTCTTTGATGAATGAGTGTGGATTTGAGGATTCTTTGTTTTAGGGTTTGTGAAAATTGATTCAAATTGGTTTTAGGGCTTCGATCGAAGGGGAGAGGGCTAATCGTCGGAGGCCTCGCCCTCTCTCTCTTCTCTCTCTCTAACACTGTGTTGTTAAATGGTTGAAAACACCGGGAGTTGAAAGGTTTGTGCTTTTTTGGGCGTGCCGGTTGTGCATGGCCGGTCCGGTCTGAATCTAGGAGTAACGCGAATTAATGTAGTCCGAAAACGTGTCGTTTTTGGTCGTCATTTATCAATTGGATTTTTGCCGAATCTAAAGCATAGACCGCAGTGGTGTCGGATACCAATCCGCATTCAATTATTCAATATGTTACGAATTTGTGTTTTTTTTTTTTTTTTTAAATAATTAAACATTTATTTCCGTTTTTTCTTAAAATTAAACATTTATTTCCGATTTAAATTACCTAAATAATATAGACATCTTAAAAAGAACAAACTTGCCTAATTATTTCTACTTACCGCTGACGTGGTCCAATCATAAATGAACAAATAATTGGTAATTACAAAATCAAGAAAGTAAGAAATAAGTATTATAAAATTTTTTTTAGAATAAATTGAGTCTCTATGATTTCCTTTTTTATCACCTTCCAAATTTTGTAATTATGCATTTTGTCCTATAGGTTCGTTCGTGAAGGCTCGTGGTTCGAGTCAATAAGCGAGGAAGCCCTTCTCGCTCAAGCTCAAGCATTAACTTTTCTAATTAGAGACCGACATCTTGGGGCTAACATGGGAGATTCGTTGACCGAACTGTTTCACGACATTCTAAACCCAGCTCACATACCACTTTAATGGGCAAACAGCCCAACCCTTAGAACATACTACAGCCCTAAGTGGCGAAGAGTTGACATCGAGGTGCCAAACCTTCCCGTCGATATGAGCTCTTGGGGAAGATCAGCCTGTTATCCCTAAAGTAACTTTTATCCGTTGAGCGACGGCCCTTCCACTTAGCACCGTCGAATCACTAAGCACTATTTGTGCATTTGTGATTGGATCACAACCGTAGAAATAACATACTCATCACTAAGTAGACAAGTCTTTTCCTTTTAAAAATAACACTATTTTTGTTGTCATGTTTACAAATGTGTTAAATGACTATTATACACATCCTATTTTTATTAGTTCAACATATGAACAAAATAACATTTTAAATTTTTCTAAGGTTGTGTTCCGCGGCATGGAATTGAAGTTTTGGAATTGAATTTGCGGAATTGAAGAAAAATAACTCACAAAATTTAACTAAAATTTTCTCTAATGCTACCAATTTCAATTGTAAAGCTATAATTTCATGCGACCGAACACGAGTATTATATATTTTTAAAAAAATTTGAACGTGATATTAATGAACAAGAGTGTCAGAAATAGTGCTATATTTAAAATTAAAGAAAGGTTATTATTATTTAGACAATTGGTGTAATAATAATTATTATTACTATTTTTTTATGAAACAAGTGATGTTATTTAAGTGGCTGCTTTGTTCCGCTGTTAGAGCAGCCACACCAACCTCTCCAAATTTTTGCTCTCCAAAAATGTCATTTCAGTTTTTTCAAGAGTCACATCAGCAATTCCCAAAGTCACGTCAGCAGCTTTGGCTCTCCAGAAACAGACGCTCTATCAGGCTCTCTGGATTTTCGCTCTTCCAAAAAAAATTAAAAATTATTTTTGAACTTTTTCCTAACAGCTATAAGTGCGCAAGAGTTGGGTATTTATAAAAGATAAATGATTTTTTTTAAGTTTTTAAAAAAATAAAAAAAAAAGTTTAAAAAATCAATTTTTTAAAAAAAATTATAACAGTTAAGGCAATGTTTCTCTCAGTCAAACATAGTCTTAACGGACATAAGCGCACGTTGTGCATAACTTAAAAAAATAAAGCAAAAAAAATAAAAAATAAAAACAGTCAATTTTTAGGGAAAAAAACAACAAAAAAATAAATAAATAGGCTTTTTAATTTACTTTTGGCTTAAATTAATTTTTTTTTTAGGACAAACAGTGCCTAAACAGTATATTTTTTTATTCAATGAAATTTATTTTTTTATTTAAAAAAAAAAAAGAGCTCAAAATAATTCATTCTTGAGTTTTTTTTTTCCCAAAAACCCATTTTTGCCTTCAGGACTTAGTGCCAGAGTGAAAAAAAAAAAAAAAAAAAAAACAAAAAAAACAAAAAGTTGTTTCAACCAAAACGGACAGTTTTGCCAAAAATAAATTCTGCGATGAGGCTCGGGCTTGCGGTTTTGGCAAGCTGATCAGTTAGCCCTTGTGGGCCCGTCTTATTTCCCCTAGTCTGTTGCACTACATTTTAGCCTCCAAATTGCCAAAAATGAGTTTTGGCTGGGGCCGTGCAGGTGCTCTTAGATAATGTTGAAAATTTACATAAAGTCTTCATTGTTAGACAATTATGTATGACATTTTTTCTATTATATTAAGGAAAAGAATTTTCATTTCTTTTATTAACAAAACTGTATATTTGCATCCACTTCGAATATGGTCTAGCGGTTTATTCGTTGGACTTTGAAATTTAGTAAACCCAAGGTCTGGGGTTCGAGTCCCGCTGAGTGTTCTTTGTGACTAGCTTCCACTGTCTTTACAATCCTTATAATGACTTATATGGATTTAACAATTACTCACCCATGAACATGAACAAGAAATTTATACAGGAACAGAGTGGGTCAGGCTTGTCTGAAAGATGATGAAGAACTCGAATCCATGCTTGAAATGTAGGGTTGGTTTCTTGGAGCTCCGTTTGGTGTAACCAGTACAGTACATACTTTCATATAAAAAATTGTGAAAGAAATTTATTCATACCAAGAATGGTGAGCATTCATATAATTGTTATGTATTTTTAGCAGGGGTAATTGTAAGAAACACTTCTTAATACTTTTATTCCCTATTTAAAAAATAGGTAAAAAACACTTCAATTTTTTTTAATTTATGCGCAAACACCCCTTAATTAATATAATGTCCATTTTACCTCTTTACTTTTTCAAAAACACCCCTGAAGGTTGGGAATTTATTGTTAGGTCTATGATGGAGGAACGGCTGGTTGCGGTGCGCCGGAGATGATGGAGCAATGAAACTGCGACTGATCAGCGGGAATGATTGTCGGGCGCATGGCGGAGTGTTGGAGCGTTTTAACAGACAATTTGGATGAAGAGGACCAGAGGTGCGGGTTGAGGAGGCCGGAGTGTAACTGGCGCGTGAAATTGAACAGAGGTTTGAGACCGGTGAGGCGGCAGAGGACAGCGGCGCGTCACAGGCAGTGGTGGCGGCAGAGGACAGCAGAGTGCTCTGTACAGCACGTGCTGGCCCGTTATTTGCCGTCATTTGGGAACAGAGCTCTGAACCGAAAGTGCTCTGTATGTGGATGACCATGAGGCTTTGCCGATGGGTCTTGATGTGCCGGTGATGAACTGGGTGGGTCTTCTTTTTATGCAATATGTTTAAATCTTTCAGAATAATGATGTTTACACAAGTGATTTTTGGTACAGACTTGGCACAAGCCATCTCCCACTTGAAAGGGACAACCAAATGCTCTATCCCTTTGGTTGTGTTTGGTCACATGCATAAAGAGCTGGCATGTGGAAATGGACTTCGAAAAATGATTGTGATTGGGGCTGACAAGACTATATACCTAAATGGGCTATTGTTCCCAGAGTTAGAAGGTTGGGTGGTGAAGATGAAACCAATTGCAAAAGTTGCACGAAGAACGAAAGCCCAATTTTCACACCCAAGGCAGAAGGCACAGTGCGAGCCTTCACTTTAGTAGAGATTGTGGATGGAAAATTGGACGACGATCTTGTTGATGCCAAGGTCGTGGAGGGAGAAGTGGAGGTTGCGGACGGTCGGAAAGAGCTGTCGGAGAGGTCTGTGTTCACAAGGTGATAGCTTTTGGAGCTTGTGGCCGGGGAAGAAGAAGAAGAAAAATGAGGGAAGATGATTTTTTTAGCTACCCTTTCTAGTAATTTCATAAAATATTAATTTTTATACATATTATTAAATGTGTTTCTAAGAATATTTTAGTCTAATTTTTATAAATAGGACCTATTTACGCAAATATCATAATTGAAGAGTATTTTTTTTATACGAAAGGCTATAAATATAAGGATGTTTTTTTTTGCACTCGACCCATTTTTAGTAATCACCTTTTTACACTTACCTTTTTCAGAAAAGCATCAAGGTTGAAACCTCTGGGCCGTGGGCTTAGGCCTTGAATTCTGACTGATCCGACTTATCAATGCCTAACGAGCCGACATAAGACCCAAATTCTTTGATCTGGGCTGGTCATTTCATGATCCTGCCTATATATGGGCTGGAGATCAAGTAGACTCAGGCCTGCCACTTTCAACGATTATGATTGTACCTAATTTAGCTGTAAACACCAATCTCACCCAACCTCACACTGACAATCACTTTCTGTACCTGTAAACTGATTGGCTCACAGACACATTCAAAGCTCTACAATGGCAATCCCAGCTCCACCAATCAGCTCACTCTCTTTCCCCAAACTCAACACAGACACCCCAAAAACACACACCACACACTCACCTTACCCACTCTCTCTCCTACCCAAATGCACCTCGCTCAAAGAACTCAAGCAAATCCAAGCCCATGCCATTAAATCCCACCTCCAAAATGGGTTCATCCTCATAAAGCTCATCAATTTTTGCACTTTGAACCCCACAGCCTCATTCATGGATCATGCCCGCCACTTGTTCGATCAAATTCCCCACCCAGATATTTTACTCTTCAACCACATGGCCCGTGGCTATGCCCGAACCAGCACCCCAATTCAGGCCGTGGCACTCTTCAGCCAAATTCGGTGTTTCAGCCTCGTGCCTGATGATTATACCTTCCCGTCTCTCCTCAAGGCGTGCGCTGCCTCTGAAGCTTTAGAGGAAGGCAAGCAATTGCATTGCCTTGCTATTAAACAGAGTCAGAGCGACAACATATATGTATATCCTACTCTTATAAGCATGTACACTGGGTGCAGTGACATGGATTCAGCTCGTCGGGTGTTTGATAGGATATTGGAACCCTGTGTTGTAACTTATAACTCGATAATAACTGGTTATGCTCGGTGTAGTCAGCCGAATGAGGCCTTGTCATTGTTCCGAGAACTGCAAGCAAGTGATCTCAAGCCTACTGATGTTACAATGCTTTCCATTATTTCCTCTTGCGCTTTGTTAGGAGCATTGGACTTGGGGAAGTGGATACATGATTATGTTAGGCAAAATGGGTTTGATCAGTATGTTAAGGTGAACACTGCACTCATAGATATGTATGCCAAGTGTGGGAGTTTGGATGATGCAGTTTCAGTTTTTGAGTGCATGGCTTTTAGAGATACGCCGGCATGGTCAGCGATGATTATGGCTTATGCGATTCACGGACATGGCCACAAAGCCATATCTATGTTTGAAGAAATGAGAAGGGCTCGAGTTCAACCCGATGAAATTACAATTTTGGGATATTTATATGCATGCAGTCATGCCGGGTTAGTAGAGGAAGGTTGCAGGTGTTTCTATAGTATGAGAAATATATATGGGATTATTCCTAGGATGAAGCACTATGGGTGTATGGTGGATATGTTAGGTCGAGCAGGGCGCTTAGTTGATGCTTATCATTTCATAGAGGAACTACCAATTAAGCCCACAGCAATACTCTGGAGAACCTTGTTATCGGCATGTAGTAGCCATGGCAATTTAGAATTGGGGAATCGGGTTATGGAGCGAATTTTTGAACTAGATGATTCTCATGGTGGGGACTATGTGATCTTCTCGAACATGTGTGCAAGAGTGGGGAGATGGGAAGATGTGAATTACATCAGAAAACTGATGAAAACTAAAGGGGTGACAAAGGTACCTGGGTGCAGCTCGGTAGAGGTGAACAATGTAGTACATGAATTCTTCTCTGGTGATGGGACGCATATTGAGTACAGGAAGCTTCACCAGGCAGTTGATGATTTGTTTGAAAAATTGAAGTTGGGTGGATATGTTCCTGATACTTTTCTAGTATCTCATGCGGACATGAAAGATGTTGAGAAAGAAGCTACTCTAAGATATCATAGCGAGAAATTGGCCATTGCTTTTGGCCTCCTAAACACTCCTCCTGGAACAACAATTCGTGTTGTGAAAAACATACGAATCTGTGGGGACTGTCACTGTGCTGCTAAGCTCATATCAGCCATATTTAAAAGACAAATAATTCTCAGAGATGTACAACGGTTCCATCATTTCAGAGACGGGAACTGCTCTTGTGGGGATTACTGGTAGTTGAATTGATTGGAAACATAGTTAATTTTTATAACATGAAACAGGCGTACGTGTGCCCTCTAAAAGCAGGCATGTCAAGTGCAAGAAATAAGCACTGCAATTACATCCCTGGCATGTTAGTACCAGAAAGAGCAGATTCTTGTGAGTGAAGCATTGTCAAACCAAAATACCCAACAAGCATTCGCTCTCCCTGAAAAAGAGGTGCATATCTACTTTGTTACAACTTCATTCCCGTCACTAGCCTTGCTAAATTCTTACTACCTGATTGGAATTGAAGAGCACTTTTCTGCAGCTGCAGGTGTGTGGAGTTGTTTTACCTAGTCAACTGTGTACTGGACTGATAAGCGTGAGAACGTGGAGTTTTGAGTCTAGAGTAGAACATGACAATGATTAGAAATGGTAAAGTTAAGCACTGGATTTGCAAATATTTATGTGAAAACTGGAGTTTGGATGATTCAATTCATGCCCTTGTGGATGTAGTTGGCAGGGAAACAGAGGCATGGTTGTCAAATGCATGGGGATAAAAGCAAGAGTAAAAACCCTCAATTGTGGAATAAATTACTGTAAAAGACTATAGTTCATGGAGCTTTCATTGGCATGGTAGAGACTACAAAATGAACTCTTTCTCGCTCTCTCTCTCTCTCACACACACACAGGTTTCCTTTACTAAATGACATGAAGTTTCTTATAATATTGGAGGCAATCAGTCCTATTTGAAGTTTTTCTTGTATTTTATGCTGAGGAAACAGTATAGAATTAGTTGGGCATGCTATCTTTGATGTGCAAGGAACACATGCCTTTAAATTAGGTTTGTACATCTTGACAAATTATGTGTGAAAGTGTGTATGTTTTGAACCATCAAATCCTAACGCTAATTAAATACAGAACTTGTGGTCCACCAGAAGAAGTTGATGTAAGTATTAAAAGAAACAATATAATTGTAGCTTTCATACTGATAAACTCTTGTAGCATTATTCAGTTTTGGATCTTATATAGTCCTTACATGTGATGTACAAAAGTAAAAAATAGTAGTCAGAAAAGATTATGCTAATACCAATATGGAATATCCAATATTAATGATTGTGTATATCTCTTGAGCTAGTTGTTCACCTTCTCCATCATTTAAATTAGGTGAATAATGCCGGCCGGCCGTCCGTAACATCTCAATCATGTCCCTCCGTTTCACACACGAAGGATGTAATAGATTGACTAAAACCATTGATTTGTTGTGCTGCATATATAGTTTTTCTGTCCACATTGTTACAATTTTGCTTATAAATATAGCTCTAAACCCCACAGCATTATCATCACTTGAAAGAAATTCACACACACAAACACACAGATATGGTGTCCATCTCTTCATTGTTGATCAAGCTCTTGGTAATACAGAGCCTAATAGTTGTGTGCATTGCACAAGATTTTGATTTCTTCTACTTTGTTCAACAGGTTTATCTCTTTACCATTGCAATCATTTATAATTTGCATATATACATGAATCAATACATAATTATTTTCTAAATTTCTCTGGGTTTTCCTATACATGAACTTATTTTCTTCATTGATGATTGTGATACAGTGGCCAGGATCATACTGTGACACAAAGCAAAGTTGTTGCTATCCAAAGACAGGAAAGCCTGCAGCAGATTTCGGTATTCATGGACTTTGGCCCAATTATAATGACGGTTCTTACCCGTCAAACTGTGATCCAAACAGTCCTTATGATCAATCCAAGGTATGAACATCCTTAGCTTCATGGTTAAAGATCATCTTCATGAGGATGAATTTAGTTATATACATTGATGGACTGTGTTGGGGTCTTTCAAATGGCATTTCTAATCTCTTTAAGAAATTTCATGGAATTTAAAGCCATATATTTGTTATTGAAGTAGCCTACACTATGTCATATTTTTAATAGTCACATTTTAACAAAACATTATTTATCTCAAACCGGCCTTGGCAATGCCAGAAAGATATGCATATAAATTTTCCTATCCCTTTCAAACCAGCTTTGACGGCAAAACACTTTAATTTTCATGAGATCAATTATTATTATTATTTTTTCATAGGTAAGACAAACTTGCACACCTAATTTGTTGCAAAGAAGACTTTTAACCCTCAACCTTCTCTTTGACACTTATTCAAGTTTGAATCTTTTGTCATGGTATAGATTTCTGACTTGATTAGCAGAATGCAAACGGATTGGCCAACACTGGCTTGCCCAAGTGGCACTGGCTCTTCATTTTGGTCACACGAATGGGAAAAACATGGAACTTGCTCGGAGTCTGTCCTTAATCAACATGGATACTTCAAATCAACCCTGGACCTAAAGAATAAAATCGACCTACTCCAAATTCTTCAAGATGCAGGTAATCACTATTTTAAGCATCACTTTATGATCACTTAAAGAGCAATTTTGTTTAGATTTGATCACTAATATATATATATATATATATATATATGTATATTCAAATATTTATAGGGATTCAACCAGATGGGGGATTTTATAGCTTAAACAGCATAAAAAATGCTCTAAAAGGAGGAATTGGGCACACACCTGGAATAGAATGCAATGTAGATGCATCTGGTAACACCCAACTTTACCAGATATATATTTGTGTGGACACTTCTGGATCAAACATTATAGAGTGCCCAGTGCTACCTAATGGGAAGTGTACTTCAAATGTTGAGTTCCCTTCTTTCTAGAGACATGTATCATAGGACTAGAGGGATGTCTCTCCATCATTTGTTGATCAATAATGAGATTTTAATCCTCAGTGTCACATTTCAATTTACTTGTAGAAAGATAATTTCTTTGTAATGCAAAATATGACAAAGTGTGCAATATGGTAGAAGAGGTTATTTGGCTTCACCAAAAGACTTGTCAGATTCTAAACAATGTTTGACATCTATATCCCTTGGCAAGACTTTGTTGTAGTGGAACTAACAATGGGGCATTGTTTGTTTGGATGTAAAATATTTAAATATATATATATATATATATATATTATATTATATATTTTAATTTTTTATGTTTGGTTGTCGTAAAATATTGACGAGAAAAAAATATTAAAACTTAACAAAAATAACTTATTCATCATTTTTTGCAAAGTTACACCCCACCGGATGGACTCGACCTAGACTTTTACCAACATCGGGAAAACAACATATATACTAAAAAGAGAATTTTGTTTTAAGAAAAATATTTACAATCTGGATGTAAAAAAAAAAAAAAAACCAACTTTGCCCACGAAATTATTAAATGCTTTTATTGGCTTCATTCCAACACGTAAGTCCATAATATCCATGGACCCTAATCCTCTTTGGTAATGATTTCTCATTGTTCTTTGCAGTTGGTGAATTTTACCACTATTAATCCGATTGTTTGAGTGTTCGGTAAGCTATTTTACTCGCCCTACTCAATTGATTCGACATCAATCTCGACCTAAAGTTTTGTCAAATATTGAAAAATAAAAAATATATATATATTTAAAAAATATATATTTTTTCAAAAAAATATTTTACTTCAAAACAAACAAAAAAAAAAAGATAAATTTCTTTCACCGCGAACAGGGAACAGCAAATAGTTGCAGGGGAGGATTTTGACTTGGTTGGTAACTTGATATAGGTGCTTTCTTATCTGACTTGAACTTTGCTACTTGATCAAGAGCCCCATATATGGATAATGTATGCCGATTTTTGCTTTAGTGTTTCTAAGAAGTTTCTCATTAGTTCACACTACAAAGTCCAATTACTCACTAGTACTTATCGTTGTCAAATACATTTTCAAATCTTTTGGGCCAACCCAACACCCACAATCATGTTTGTCATTTTCCTTGAGGCTATGCCAATCAGCACAATATAAAGCAAGATCACCAGATTCACACTACATATTCTACCTTACGTGGACTTGGACTAGTGCTTCAATTGCAAATTTGTACATACACAGAATTTGTAATGTGAAACAATATGAAAAATAATATTTTATTGTATTGCATAGAATGAATTGTGTAAAATATGCAGGAGTCCACTGATTTATATAGGCTAGGACAAGGCTAGGTGAGTGTTGTCTTAACAAATCTATACATGGCAATTAAGGATAGGTGAGGCGGTTATACATAAGAAACCCTAATTACAATAGTATAATCTTACAGGTATAACACTCAAATTGAAGGATACCATAAATGCATAACTATTGCTGAAGTCTGTATGACTTGTTTAGATCGTCATAAGGCCAAACGGCCATGTTGATAGATTTATTGGCCTTATTTTTTGGCCAAATAACATTATTTAGGGCCTCAAAACAAGATTAAGAGGCATGCTGAATATTTTGGAATTTTTGTTCTTTGTCTAAATGAACTCGGATTGCGCTCAAATTTTTTATTTAATAATTTTATTTGATTAGGTATCTTTTTTTATTTTTTCAAAATTTTTAAAGAAATTTTATTTTTAGACTTATTTTCGAATATTAATTTATTTTCGAGATTAGGTTTTATTATGTTATAAGGTTTCGTGTTAAAGTTAATTTCTTTATAAATTAGGATTTTTTTCATTATAAATACATGTAATTCAGAGAGCAGAAACACATTCGATTATCAATGCAATATCAAATTTTCTCTTATGCTACGTTTGGTGTGCAAGAATGGAATGGAATGGAATGCCCATTCCAATCATTTATTTGTTTGGTATGCAACTTAAAGTGGGAATGGCCATTTCATTGGAATGAAAAATTCATTCCTGGAAATGAAAAATTCATTCCAAAACTAAACCTATGGAATGGCCATTCCATTCCCAAATAATTTATTTTAAAAAATTAACTTCCCAAAACACCCTCATATTCCAAGTCTAAAAACTACCATTACCTTCCACCACAATCATCTCCGCCTTTCACCACCACCACCACCACCACCACTGCCTTCCACCACCACTGACTTTCACCATCGCCCACCACTTTCTACCACCACCGCCGCCGTCGCCTTTCACCACCGCTACTGCCACCGTTTGCCGCAACCACCACCGTCGCCTTTCACCACCGCTACCGCCACCACCTTCCACCACCACCACTGCTACCGCCTTTCACTACCACCACTACCTTCCACTACCGCCATTGCCACCGCCCTACACCACTGCTGCCGCCTTCCAGCACCGCCACCGCCACCGCCACCGCCACCTTTCACCAGCACCGCCGCCGTCGCCTTCAACAACCATCAACGCCTTCCCCATCGCCTTCCACCATCACCATCGCCTTCTACCACCTTCCATCACCACCACCACCACCACCACCACCACCTTCCACCACCCACTACCGCCACCACCGCCTTCCATCACTGCCACCACCACATTTCACCATCGCCACCACCACCACCACCACCACCTTCCGCCACTACCTTTCGCCATCGCCCACTACCTTTCGCCACCGCCACCACTACCTTCCACCGCCACCACTACCTTCCACCACCACCACCGCCTTCCACCACCTTCCACCACCACCACCACCTTCCGCCACCGCCGCCACCACCACCTTTCGCCATCGCCCACCACCTTTCGCCACCACCTTTCACCACCGCCACCACCTTCCATCACCACCACCTTCCACCACCGCCTTCCACCACCACTATTTCCTTCCACCACAACCACCACACTACTGCCACCGCCTACCACCAACACCACTACAACTTTTCACCACCACTGCTGCCACCAATTTTCACCATTGCCACCACCACCGCCTTCCAACACCACCACCTACACTACTACCGCTTTCCACCATCCACCATCGCCACTGCCACCATTTATTTTAAAAAAATTATTAGAGAATATCATTTTGTTAATTTAATTTAATTTATTTCTTACTAAGAGGGATATTTTGGAGAATTCAATTAGAAATTTATTCCATTCTAAATTTTAAATTGGTTCAACCAAACACTAGAATAGTTATTATCATTCCATTCCTACACATTTCATATTTACAACCAAACAATAGAATGAGAATGGCCATTCCATTCCATTTCCATTCTCATTCCATTCCCACTTGCATTCTATTCCATTCCTACACACCAAACGTAGCATTAATTTATCTCTTAGTTTGTGATTCAAAGTAATCCCGTTTCTTATGAACAAATTTATTGATTCAGCTTACTTCATTTTCTTCTTTTATTCCCTAAAGTAGCATATTGGAACAATTTGTGCTCATAATATTCCAAATCTAATACCCATCATGCATTTTCATCCTTTTGCCACGAAAGGCTTTTTTTTTTATTTTTTATTTTTAGAATGATAAAGCACGTACACACACATTTGCTCACGTTCGGGCTCCAATCTGTCCCCTCCTCTTTGAGTTTGGATAAATCATATGTCACACCCCAAATTTTAATACAAGAACTACTTGTCCTGCATTAAAAAAATCTAAGGTATAACTTCCATCAATTCTCAACATACATCCTCCATAATAGAACTACAGTGAATCTCGTCATTCAACTTAACAAACATGAGAGTCTGACAAATTTTATACAAATCCATAAATAGAGGTGCAATTCCCTCTAGTAAAACAAAACATCTATGACCACTGAATCAACTCAATAAAGTTTCATAAAACATTAACTTTATTACAATAATCAGAATAAAGGAAAAACCGAGCTAAAATAAATCAATGCGCAACGAGCTAAAATCCGTTCCCATCATGTAATCCCATCACGTTCCTACTCAACGTGTACCTGAAATGTGATAATGGGGTGAGCTCACAAGCTCAGCAATAAATGCTAAACACAATCATCGTTCAGCAAATTAACCTTACCTTATATTCCTGTATATATAAGCAACTCAAATAAGTTCATTATTCAAATGTGTATAACCCAGTTAGTTATAAACTTAATAAATAACCATCTTTTATTTTTTTATAAATCGGCATATCTCACATGAGTCCCGGGCTCCCGTCCAATAAAATGGTGTGAATCGTATAGTCCCTGACTACCAAAAACACACGTGTGGCTGGATTGTACGTCTACTCCCCAGATGATCCCTGATCACGTCCACACAATAAGGGCTCATTAGACCCATGGCCATAACAAAAGGGTAGTGCACTCCCAAATAGGTAGGTCCCTGACCATACTCAAAAGTCATCATAGAGTCAGTCCCTGACTGCCCTCCGACTAATCCAAACTCATCATTATTATTTATGGTGAATTATGAAATACATTATTAATTAATAATTTAAAATCAATAAGTAATACACCCAAACACGCTTTTAATTTAAAAACAGAACCCTATAGACTCAACTAGTGAGAGTACAAAATTCTGGACATAGCCTAATATTAGATATGAAACACGCTTTTAATTTAAAAACAGAACCCTATAGACCCAACTAGTGAGAGTACAACATTCTGGACATAGCCTAATATTAGATATGACTCCCTACAAAATTTCAGAAGCTAAGTCTTAATAATATTTCCGTACTTTCCATCTTAGTGCTGAAAATAATACTTTTTCGGGTTTTAATTTCGTAAAACTACCAAAATGTCATTTAAAAATCTGGATTTCAGCAAAACTAAGTCCATTATACTTAAAACTAATATTCTGGAATTTCAATAATTTTTTTTTTTTTGAATACTAAAAAAAAATACTCTTCTATATTTGTTTTTCAAAATTTAAAATAATTAAATATATTATTCATTTCGGTTGAACCCGGGTATTGCCCCCAACGGACTAGGCTCGGCGAGTAGATTCCAGTGATAACTTTCAATAGTCAAACCGATGTCTCACGGCAACACACTCTCCCTCACTTTCCATTGCCAAGAATGTGCTTCGTAGAGAAGAACCCAAAGTGGGTCTTCACCACCATAATGCATTTGCTTTTCTATCTGTTTTTTTCTTTTCCAACCAATATCTAACGGTTCTACCTTCTATTGACCCCAAAGTCTACTTTTAAGCTTTCTGTAGTCAATAAAGCTTAAGTTTGAAACATCAAATTGAATGCAAGACTTACAACAATAAATTATTTCACTTATTAAAATATTCCACGCTGAACTTTGATTTCTAA